TAAGAATTGGTTACAAATGGGCAATTGTTAATGGAGTTCCTTATGTAAAGTGAGGCGGAAGTGGAGGGTGCAAAACCAACTTACCGAGCTGCTCACCCTTAGCAGCATATAAATATTAGGTTATATAAAATGTAAAGTTACATAAAAGCCCTTAATATAAAACAAAATTAAAAAATATGCCTATTTCCTACACTCCCCCTCAAACTAAGGCTGGGAAACCAGTGTCAATTTGCTCACTAAAAACTTGTGTCATGCAATTGTCATTGGCTTTGTAAAAATATCTACAATTTGATGCTCAGAAGCAATATAAGGAAGAGTAATGGCACCTGCAAGATACATATTCCGTATAAAGTGGCAATCCACTTCAATGTGCTTGGTACGCTCGTGAAAGACAGGATTGGATGCAATACGAATAGCACTCATATTATCAGCATAAAGAGGTGAAGGAGGAGTAGGAAAAGTAAGTGTCTGTAAAAATCCTCGAAGCCAAGTCAATTCACTACATGCTGAAGACAATGCTCGGTATTCAGCTTCAGCAGTGGATTTGGACACTGTTTTTTGTTTCTTACATTTTCAAGAAATAAAGGAATCACCAAGAAACACACACCAACCTGTGGTTGAGCGACATGTATCAGGACAACCTGCCCAATCAGCATCTGCATAAGCTTGCAATCGCCTCACTTTACATGGTATCAGAGCAGATTTCGCCAGAGCTTCTTCTTTCGCGCCGCTAGGGGTTTTGACTCCATAACCACCGGCTCAGTATCGGAGGTGAAGCCATTGCAGAGGATTCCGACGCTGAAGCCAAACCAGATTCCTCAAAGTTCACTTTGCTGGTAATAGCGACGCCCAGAACGAAAGTATCCCTGGTATTGTTCTCAGTGACATCTGGAAACATCTTACAGCCACCGCAACCACTGCCGCATTTGCAACCTGCGCCGCAGCCACAGTTTCCTCCGCAGCAGGACATCTTCAACAGTAGAAGATGGAATCGCAGAGCTGAATCAGGGAAAGGATTGATTCCTTTTATTGTTTTGTCACGATCATAGTGTGGATTGGAGATTGGATTTCTTGATTGGGTTTTTCATCTCGTATTGACGGTAATATCGATTACCCTTTTATTTGTTTTTCTCCTTGGTTGATTTGCATATTGATTTGTTGCTGCGGAATTGGATTCAATAATGATCGAGAAAAATGAGACTTTGGCTATCAAATTAGATGGAAAGAATTTTTCTTTGTGGAAATTCCATTTTCAATTCTTTGTAGAAGGCAAAGGTTTGTGGGGCTATATTGATGGAACCGAGCCTATGCCTGAAGCATCAAAAATCAAAAAACTTCAATAGTGGAAGATGAATAATGCAAAAATTGTTTCTTGGATTTTGGCTTCTGTTGATATTAATATTAGAATCCCTATGCGAGGATTTCGCACTGCTAAGGCAATGTGGGAACATCTTGAAAAGGTCTATCAACAGTCAAATTGGGCTAGGAAATTTCAAATTGAATTTGACATTTTCAAGTTTGCACAGGGTGATAAAAATATTCAAGACTATTATGCTGCTTTCATGAGTCTGTGGACTGAATATGAGCAGGGGATTATGGGTGACCGTGAGGACTGTTGCTTACAGAGTTTACAGACTCTGAATGATGAAAGAAAAGTGATGCAATTTTTGATGAAGCTAAGACCT